GCATCTCGCACTCGGCTTTGCTACATGTCTCTCGCTCGCCCTAGCGTTGCTCGGGCCTTCGCGCGACGCGCGCGCACATTTCAAGCAGCTCGCATCAACAGCATAGCCACCTTGACAGGGTTGATTACCACGGCGGGTGGACTAAAGATGTCCGCGCGTGTCTCGCCAAGACCTTGAGTCATTAAAATAAATCGAGCAACACGCACACCCCCCTCCCCCTAAATTCACAGTTGGCGGGTTGAGGCGACAGAACAAATGCCAAGACAAAACATGGACACTTCAACTTTTGGTTCGGGGGACAGGGGCGCGAGGCAAGGGCATTTCGCAGTTGCGGTTGTCATCGCGCTGCGGCGCCTTCCCGCCGCGGGCGCGGACACTTTATGTCCGGGCACCCTTGCTCGGGTTAACGGGCGCCCGCGGATTTGGCTGAACATGTCCTCCGCGACGGCCCCCTGCCTTGGAGAACCCCCACCTCGGCAAACCTCCTGCGCTCACCCCCCCGCGGGCCTGAGGTCAACGTTCCTCGTCGCCTTCAGGTCGACATGAATGGCGCCTCCGCGCCCGCTAGCGGCGGGCGGGCCACTGGGCGCCCGGCGCCCTTCGCAACTGCAGGGACGTCCTTTCTCATCGCGATGCAACACTATCCCTAACACCTTCTGGACATCCGCCACTCGAATTGGCTCGCTAACTGTTGCCCCATGGCCACCGCCCCCAACGATTGCCCTTCGGCCGCGGTTATTGGCTACAGCGCCATCGGCAGCGCAGAAGCGCCCCCCTGCTTTCGAAGCCTCACTGGGTTCGACTGGGGAACACGCCTCAACATCTGGCGGCCCCACCGCGACGCAACGCAGGCCCCTGCGCCAGGGGCAACCACGACAATTTCAACTCTCATGTTGGGGTCATATGATGGCGCCGCGTAAACCTCGCGCGAGCCGGCTCGGACTTCTACCAACTGCACCTCAGAATATTTCACTGTCCAAACATTCCTTTCTTCTGCACGGCGTTGCGAGCCCAAGCGCCCCAGAAGTTCTGGCGCGGCCCACTCGCGCAACCCTGGAAATTGACGCCGGCTGCCGACTCCATGACACCCGGGCATCGGTTGCCCTTGAAAGATGCTGGGCGCATCCATTCCTCCATTCTGGTTTCCGCCAGCGCCGCCCGCTTCGCCTCCGGACTCGACTTCCTGAGCACCCTCACTGGAGCAGTTAACTGCAAGGCGCCTCTTTTACCGCATTCACAGCTCTCTTTCGGTTACGGGAACAAGGCCACCTTCGTTCCATCCTCCTGCCCCTTTGCCTCCACTGCTTCTTCTCCTACCATAGCTGTGTCCTTGGGCATATTGCGCATAATTCATGCGGGCCCCATCTTTGATCCGCCTTGCCTTAACTGTTTGTTCCTGAGCGTTTCCTAGAATGCACGGCCACGTGACCGCATGCGCCCCACTTGAAAACTCTGACCCGTTTCCTCATGTTCCCGTTACTTTGAACTACATCGACGACGACTGCCTCATTTTGTGAATCACTCAATTCCCAGCTGAAGTCGGGCCACCAGTAGCCTTCATCGTCAACGTAGCCTTCGGAGTCCCAGCTTCCACTCGTGTCCGAAGATCCACCGCTAGGCTCGCTGGCACCGCCAACGCCTCCCATTTCCATCGCGTCGTCGTTTTTTGCTTGCGCCGGCGCCTGATAGTCTCTGCCGCCTCCAATCTCCGCGCGCGATATGTGGTTTGTAGTAGCTCTCGTCAGTTAACCTGGCGGTTTGACGAACTCGCGGCGCCCGTCTTCAAACGAATTACCTGCGCGTGACATGGTCGTTCGCAACGCCGCGATGCGACGTGGGAGTGTAGACGAATATGCAGGTCCTTATTTCTCCAGCAATCCAACTAACGCTGTCCACAGCGCTAAGTGGGCGGCAACATCTTCAGTTTGGTCTGGCCTATCCAGGCCCATGGCCAAACTCATTTTGGTTGACAGGGCAACTCCAGTAGCAGCAGTTTACCATGTGTACATGCTATGGTATGCCTGTAGTCCGCCGCCTGCTCGTAGCCCTTTTAAAATATGTATATGGGCTCTGCTCCGCCAAACCTGTCATTGCAAACGTACCAGAGGCCAGAGGTCCTCGTCTAACCTGTGGATTGGGGTATTCCTTGAAATCGACAAATTCGCCTTGCTCGCCGTCGGCTTGCATTCAAACTTGAAACGTTGTTGTGCACTCTGCTGCAATTAACCTGCCGTTGGGTGTTCGTGCGAAACCGTCATCATCCCCATCATTTACCACTCCGTCCACGGTTTCCGATGCACCGCTCAAGTGCCTCAACGCCTCGCTGAAAGTGGGACCCATCTGGACTAAGGCGTTTACCAGCTTCTCGCTCCATTCTCTGAACTTGGCTCGATATCCTCCGAAAGTTCTCAGTTGTTGCATGGTTTTGTACTCGCTGACTGGCTTAAAGTTACCTCCACCAGTACGACGCTGACCTTCAGCTATTGGCTAAGCTACGTTGGTGATCTGGTCCATCGTGTTTACTTTAGCATCAACCTGGTCCTCCAAGTGGTCAAACCGGATGTGCCACATCTTGACAACACATGTCGCATACACGCTCCTGTTAGCCATTCGTAAGTAGTGAGTAAACTTGCTGTGCAATCAACAGCAACCCACACCAAAGAATTCTTCGGTGGTAGTTGTTCTTACTCCTGCAGTTGTCTTCCTTTCTCTACGAGCTCTCGCAAAACTGCACGGTTGGCTCTCAGGGCTACCTCTACATGACTGTAGCCCCGCCGTTGTAGGCTGCCCCACAAAGATCGGCAACAAACCTGGCTGGGTTCAGGTTGAACCGTTGATTTCTATCTTGGGGGGCGTTTAACTTCAGTAGTGGATCGCAAACGGCGGCGGGAACAACTGCTGCGGCCCCTGCCGCTGCCAGTAACCCCGTTCCGTTACCATAAAAATCCTGGAGAGGGAATTGCACAGGAACGTACCGATAATATTGTTTTCACACTCTGGAAACGCTAACACTCCACGTGTCGATACTTGAGCCAAACGGCGTCGGCAACGGCGACCGCTCGACTCTCAAAACAGCTACTTGCCAAGATTGTTTCTCACCCAGCTGTAGCCTTATATTCGAACATCTCTTCCTCCTCCTCCTCCTCCGCCTCCTCCTCCTCCTCCGCATCCTCGTCCTCCTCCTCCTCCTCCTCATCATCATCCTCCGCCGCCGCCTCCGCCTCCTCCTCCTCCTCTTCCTCCTCCTCCTCCTCGAACGTAGCACGAGGGAAACGGGCCCTGCAGGAAAGGAAGGACAGGAGGCCCAGGTGTCTTGGGCCGCCAGGGCCCTCCACGGGACCCAGGACCATACCAGAACGGCTCGGCATGGAGAGCTGGCACTCGGGGAAACCTCCGAGGCCTGGGACCTTGTTGCCCTCAGAGCGCCAGTAGTTACCTCCCTGGCGAACGCCTGGGGGGGGGTGCCAGAAGCGCCCCTGGCTGAGGGTTTTGGGGTCCCGAAACGGTGCGATGACAGACCGTGCGGTGACCTCGAAATCCCCCAAGACCTCACCGCACGGTCCGTCACCGCACGCTCTTGGAACCCCGGATGCCCCTGTCGCCCGAGACGTCCTCGGAGAACAACCCGAGTCCCAAAACCGTGCGGCGACCCCGAATCCCAACAGCCTCAACGCACGGTGCGGTCACCACCCCGTTTTGGTTTCCAACGTGGGTCTGTTGCTATAGAAAGGGTCATGAAACAAGCGTTGAAACACATCTTATGCCCATCTGTGACGCGCATATGCGGTCTGGAAAATCGGGGCGGCATCAACGCGACGCCAAGGGGCGTCGTGGACTCGAGCCTTTGGCCTGGAAGCACGAAGCGCACGAAGCGCACGTTTGGGGGCACCCTCTCGGGGGCCCCCAAACGGGGCCCCCGTCTGGGGGCCCCCGAGAGGGTGCCCCCCGGGATCTCCACGCAGGGCGGGGCCCGGGCCCTCCGGAGGCGCCCACCCCCCCGCCGCGAGGCACGGCGGGCCCCCGCGAGCTCGGGGGGGGAGAGGCGGAAGGCACCTCGGGCCCCGGAGCGCCTCTCGCAACATGCGAAGGATGCAGCTTCCTTGGGCGCGAATGCCATGGGGGGGCGATGAAAAAATGGGGGGGGGGGGGGGGGGGGGGGGGCGGGGGAGGAGGGGGGGGGGGGGGGGGGAAAGGTACCCTCTTCGGGGCCACGAGGCCCCCTTCTGGGCCCGAGAGGGGTCCCCCTTATGATGGGGCCCGGGAGGGCCCCTTTTCGACAGCCCTCGCTGCCCCCCCCATTCTTCGCCCCACCCAGTACGCGCCCTCCAGTTTTCCCAGCGCCACCCAGCGCCAGAGGCGACCGTGCCCCGAGCACGGAATCGACGCTGGATCGCCGACGAATCGCCGACAGGGACCCCGATGGCGCCACCGCGCAGGGCCCCTGGGAGCGCTGGAGCATCGACGCTTCCCTCCCTGAGCCTACCCCTAGCGACCTCTGGAGTGCCCGAGGTCTCCAGGATGTCCCCCCAGGAGGCTCAAAGAGGGCCTGCAGGCGTCCGAAGTCCTCGAGCCTCGAGCTTCGAAGAGCCTGCCTTCGGCTCTACACGCAAGAAGTGGCCCCAGGCAAGAGTGACCCTTGGTGCGCGTGCCTCGCCGATCGTTCCATGCGATGCGACAGTGGCGGCCTGCGCTCTTGGATTCGGCCCCCCGAAAGCCGCGCGCCAACGGTCACCCTGGCGACGGGTCTCTCGGCCTTCGGGCCACAGCTACATCTCCGGTGGCCCTTCGAGACGAGTCGGACACCCCGGGAACGCTCTCGGCGAGGCGCAGCTGCTGGAACGCATCCCGAGGCAGGAGCGCCTGCAGGAAACGACGAGGACCTCCGACGGCGCCACGCCGGCCATGGGGCACCCCTGCGTGAGGCCGCGCGCCAGAGGTCACCTCAGGCGAAGGGTCGCTCTCGCGTGCAGCCGACTGCGCATCCCCCCTCCCCCCTGCACCTCCGTCGGCGACCTCGTGCACCTCGACGCTTCCGCCCTCGCGCTGCGAGGCGCCGGCGGCTCCCTCCTCCGCCCCCGCCAGCGACGCGCCAGTGCCCAGGGCGAGCGCCGGAGCGCCCAGGCCCTCGAGCGCAGCGGCCACCTCTCGGGAGACGCTCGCACCGACCACCTCACCCATCCTGGCCGCGCCCATCCTGGGACCAGCATCGGTGCACGCTCCCTCCTGGCCTGGCCAGGGAGGACGCCATCGTCATCGTCATGTCCTCCTCATCTTCCTCATCCTCCTCCTCCTCCTCCTCCTCCTCCTCATCCCCCCCCTCCCCCTCCACCCTCCACCTCCTCCTCCTCCTCCTCCTCCTCCTCCTCCTCCTCCTCCTCCTCCTCCTCCTCCTCCTCCTCCTCCTCCTCCTCCTCCTGGGCCCAGGACGGCTCGGGGCCAGGACCGGTGGGGTGGCCGGCGGATGCTCCTGCGGGCCTCGGGCTGTGACGATGCCTCGCAGATGATGTCCTCGGCCAGCGCCTCCGCCGCCGCGGAGGCCGCGGCGCCCGCCTCGGCGTCCGCCGCGGGCGGGGCCTCTCCGGCGATGATCCTGGCGAGCAGCGCGAGGGTCTGGTCCTGAGCATCGTTGAGACGACCCCCATGCCCCACTGGCACGGCCTCGGCCCCTCCGGCCGACCTACCCCCCCAGGGCAGGTTCGTGTCGTGGCGACCCCGGCACTGGTTTCTGGCACCGCTGGAACCGTTCGACCTTCCGCGATCGGCGGCTGTTCGGTCGCCAGACCGTTCCGTATTAGCCGATTCTGGGCCAGTGGCGGCGTTCAACCCTGAACGGCCGCGCTGAGGTCGCCACCGCGTCGACGCGACACGAACCTACCATAGGTGGGAACATATGGGCTGTTCCCTTCGGGCGTTTCGCGGGGCCTATCCCCACCTGGGGAGGGGGGGCCGGTGAGGCGGAGATACCGTGGCCCAGTGGGGATCGGGATCGTTTAGGCTACGCTGAAGTCCAGGGCGTCCAGCCCCTCCTTCAGCCGGGCCTGCTCGCAGCGAGCGGCGGCCACCGCCGCGCTCGCGGCGGCCAGCTCCACCTCAGCCGCGCGCCTGGCCGCAGAGGCCTCCGCGTGTGCGTCGTGGGCGGCCTTGCTGGCGGCGAACTGCTCCTGCTGGCGCTGCACGACGACGCCGAGCAGCGCGGAGGCCGCGAGGCGCTTGGACTCGGCCTGGAACTCGGGCTTCTCCGCCAGGCGGGCCTCGCAGCTGCCAAGGTGCCCGCTCAGCGTCTCCTCCAGGCTCGACAGCGTGATCTCGTCGAAGCGGGTCCGCTCCGACGGCCGCTGCCGGAGCGCGATGCCCGCCGCGGCCAGGAGGGCCTCCTCCGCGTTGTAATTCTCGAAGTGCTGCTGCACGGCGGCGAACGCCCTCTCCAAGTCCTCCTTCCCTGCCCACTCGCCGCGCATCAGCAGCCGGAACGGGCCGTCGGAGACGCGCACGATGGCCTCCCTGGCGCGCTGCAGCTCTGCAACCTCCTCCGCGGCGACCTGCATCATCTGCTCGGCCTGCTCGAGCTGGTGCTCTGTGCGCGTCACCTCTGCCACGGCATCCTCCAGCAGCGCCTTCGCCGCGCCTGCCGTTGCTTCTGCCTGCGCCTCCGCGCTGGCCGCGCCATGACGCGCGGCCTGGCGCCCGCGCTCCTCCGCCTCTGCCAGCTCGCACTGTGCCTCGCTGGAGGTCAGCAGGCCACTGAGCTGGCCGCGGTAGTCGCCCAGCGCGTCGTTGGCGATTCCCAGGAGGCGCACCTGGTGGGCGTGCAGCGGCCTGGCTCGCATCGCGTGCGGCAGGCTCTCGATCAGCATCTGCCGGACGTCGGCGGGATAGTCGTCGTAGTCGACCAGGGCCTTGGCGATGCGCTCGCAGTCGGCGCCGCGCTGGGCCTTCTTGAGGACCTCCTGCTGGAACAGCTGACACACACGGCGGCGCAGGCTCTTCCTGGAGCCCAGCGAGCCGACCTGGAGCCCCAGCCGCTTCTCCAGCGCGGCGCGCAGCTGCCCCACCGTGGTGGACTCGAGATTGGCGCTCACAACCAGGGCCTGCACCTCGGCATGGAGCTGGGGCTCTGGGATGTCCTCGGGGGCCGCCCAGATAGGGGTCCGAAGGGGTGGGGTCGGAGGATCGCGCCGCATCGCCGAAGGCGGCGTGGGCGATGCATCGGCGACGTCGGCGTGGAGAAGATCGGGCTCCGCCTCGAACCGCGTCGCCGATGCCGCGGGAACCGCCGACCCCCTCCGCCCCGACCCCCTCGGGGCGGCCTCGGGTCCTCCAGCGCGTCCTTCGGCGCCGCGCCCGCCTCGCTCGCCAGCGACCGCTGCGACGCGTCGGCCAGCAGCTGCCCGGCGGGCACCGCCGCGGCCGAGCCCCCGGGCTCCGCGCCCACCTCCGGAGCGGGCGCCCCGCCGCCGCCGGGCGGCGGCCCTCCCTCGTCGGCCGGCGGCGGGTCGCCCGCCGCCGCGTCGCCGCCCTGGGCGGCCGTGGGCTCGTCCTCGGGGGCCCCAGCGCCTCGGCTCGGCGCGCACCCCGGCAAGCCGGGCCGGGGCGCCTGCGCGCCCTCGTCCGGGGCGCGCTCGCGCCAGTGCTCCACGCAGCCCCGGCACAGGTCGTAGCCGGAGGCGCGGTCGGTCCAACGCACGGTGTGGCCCTCGGCGGCCCGGGTGCACGCGGGGGACCTGAGAGGAACACGGACCCTGGCCCCCTCGAGCAGTGCAAAAATCATGACGGGAGGTTTTTCGCCACTTTCGGCATCCGGGGGCCCTTCCCCGGCCTCGGGACCGTCAAAAAACGGCAATGAAAAACCAGTCCCCGGGAATAGGTTGAAACCTCTGGGGGTCGACGTCATGAAAAAAAACATGACGTCGGGGGTCTGGGGCATGAACATGATTTCTGAGAAGTCCGCGAGGATTTCTTGGATCGTCGCTGGACTGGCGCGCGGAACGCGCCAGGGGCGGCGCCGGAGGCGCCGCGAGGGGGGGGAGAGGCTCGGGTCCGATCCGAGCGATCCGCGCGGACCTCCGAAGAATCATGCTTACGTCGTGATTTGCTCTTCGGGACTTGTGGTCGCAGTACCACCTCTTCTCGCCGTCGTCGAACGGCACGAGCGGGCGGGGGTGGCAGCTCACTCTCACCGGCGGGCCCCCCGGCGGGGGCCTCGAGCCCTGGCGGGCGCGGCTGCTGGGCGCGCCCTGCCACGAGACCCTCGCCGCGGCACCACGGATCCAAGCCTCCCGCCCGTCTCTGGGGACGCCGGCCCTGAACTCCTGCCGCGTTGCATATGTTTCACTGCGGCCGATGCTGCCCGGCTTCTGGCCCCCCGGGACCCTCACAGGTCGATCCGGCTCGAAAACTGCCGCAGGGAGATGGGGTCCGGGCCTGCGGCCGTGATTTTTCAAGATGTTGTAAGGTTGTCCCAACCATCCTGTGGTGTTGGGCCCTCTCTTTGAAACGACAGCGCCCCTAACCTGCCTCACGCGGCCCCCTCCTCCCACCAGTGCCTCTGCCCTCCGCATCCACATCTCGCCCACCCCTCACACGCTTCGTAATTAGCATGATAGGGAGCTCCAACGAAGGCCCCAGGGGGGGCAGACCACATGCGGTCCGCCAGCAAATTCATTACACCCCTCAAACGCTAAGCCCCAGGGGGGGTCCACGTGTGGTCCCCCAGCTCGTTCGGCACACCCCTCACACGTTTCGTGGCCCCATGTTGAGCTCCAACTAAGGCTCCAGGAGGGGGTACTGCATGCGGTCCCCCAGCCCATTTTCGACGCACCGCTCACACGTTTCGTGACCCATCAGAGAGCTCCAACTAAGGCAAAGTGGCACAGCTCGAATGCGTCCTCAGGCCCATGTCGGCACACCTCTCAAACGCTTCGTGGCCCCATAGGGACCTCCACCGAAGGCCTCAGCGGCAACGCCCGCATGCGTCCCTAGACCCATTCTGGCACACCCTTTACACGTTTTGTGGCTCCATAGGGACCAAAGACCCCAACGGCAGCACCCGCATGCGTCCCCAAGGTCCATTCCGTCACACCCTTCACACGCGTCGTGGCCCTACAGGGAATTCAACCGAAGAAACAAATGGCAGCGCCGGCATGCGTCTCCGAGGCCAATTCCGTCACACCCCTCACACGCTTCGTGGCCCCATAGGGACTTCAACCGAAGACCCCAAGGGCAACGCCCGCGTGCGTCCCCAAAGGCCCATTCCGTCACCCTCCTCACACGCTTCGTGGCCCCATGGGGACTTCAACCGAAGGCCCCAGCGGAGGGCCCGCATGTGCCCCCAGGCACCTTTCGGCACTCCCCCATCACTCGATTCGTGGCCCCACGGGGAGGTTCACTGCAGGCGATGTTCACAGGCGCGGTGCTCACAACTGCACATGGCTGGGTCCTTCGCCCGGAGAATTCCAACGTCGGACCTCAGGGAGGGACGTCTGCGTCTCCAGGTGCGCCCCAGCTCTTCGCGCCACTCTGCGGCCCCCCCCCACCCTCCCCAGGGTCTTCGTGGGCCTCCCGAGGGCTGAGCCGGAGGCCCTCGGGCCTCCCTGGAAATCCTGGGGACACCTTCGGCCAGGGACGCCGGTGTGGCAACACCCGACCTCTCCTCCTCCCGGCGCTCCCAGGGCGCTCCCAGGGCGCTCCCAGGGCGCTTTCAGGGCGCTTTCAGGGCGCTCCCAGGGCGCTCCCAGAGCGCTCCCAGGGCGCTCTCGGCGCTCGCAGGGCGCTCCGGGGCCCCAGACACCCAGCGTCTCGAAACAATCGTGACGGAGGTGTCATCGTTCTCGGTCCATCAGGGCCCTCACTGGGCCTCGGGCCTTGTCAACAAAAGCGAATCGGGATGAAGAACTGGTCCTGGGGAAGCAGCGGTCCAGAGGTCGCGGGAGCCTGCGTCTAGAAAAGATCGGGACGCCCGACGTCTGGGGGGCTCCACGTCGTGAATCTTCCACGACGCGGCCCTCCGCTACTCCTGAGAAGCCGCCTGTCTTGATCTTTCGTTGGGAACGCCTGAGGAGACCTGGGCAGGTGGACTGGCGTGAGCAACGATCTCAGACATCTAGCGTCACGATTGTTTTCTTCTTCCCGTGGGCCCCTAGGGACCTCCCAAGCCCATGCAGCGGGGGCCGCCCTTTGACCCTGCGGACAAGCTTCGCGAAGGCCCCTGGGCACGCAACAAACGGACCCCCACAGGCGAGCGTTCCGTGATTTACAATAAAACGACCCCTAACCCTTTAGGAGAAGACGTAAATTGGGAGGACCAAAAACATTAGGGATAAGGGGGACTCTGCAGACGCATCGAACCAAACCACCCAGATCGATGATCCCTAATGCCAAGACGGGGGGACCTAAGTGAGGCCACGTCTTCACTGTGTTATCAGGGTTAGGGGTAGGTCGGGCATGTCCTCCTACAGGCGGAATTTGAAAGGTATATTCTAAAAGCGAAAAATTAACTTAGTCCAAAAATAATCGACACATCGTCCCCTGATAATTTTCAAAACTGCTTTTGAATACTCCTCCTGTATAGAAGGACATGCCCGACTTCAGGTTGGGGGTTCTTCTATCCTCGGTGATTCCGTGACGTCTGAGACCTGGCCCCCCCCCTCTCCAAAAATCGACCCCCGAAGCCACCCCATCCCAGGGCGCGCCCTGGCCAGAACATCGAGGCACACGCCCGGCCGGTGGCGACGAGAGCGCTCCAGGAGGCCCCAGGAAGGACGGAGAGCTTCTTTGAAGGCGCAGGCCCTACATCTACAGACAAGGCCCGCGCCTTCCAGAGTCGGACTGGATTGGACAGGACACGCGAGAGGACAGAAGACCCTTCCGAGAGGAGAGCCACATTGCCACAGGAATGCAGGAAGCATGGATCGCGAGACACAGGACACACAGGGTAGCCTTGACTTGGCAGGGTCGGCCTACTAGTCTGGGCCGACTGTAAGAAGCAGTGGTGCTTCTACGAAGCCTTCCCTTTCTGCGCGTGGCCGAGACTTCTTGGTGGCGCACGGAGCAGGGCTCGAGCTAAGCAGTGCTTTTCGCTGTCGCTCTGTCTTCGTTCTCCCTCGCTCTGCATCCGTCCCGCCTCTGCTGCAGAACGAGATCCGAACGAAAACCGTCCACTAGCGGCCTCCTGGGTGGGTTCCGCGTAGATGGGGTCGCAGGGATTGCACCGCGTCGGCGTCATCGGCGACGACGGCGGTGCATCGGCGACGCTGGCATGGAGAAAAACAGGCTCCACGTCGAGCCGCATCGCCGACGCATCGGCGATGCGGCACGATCCTCCGACCCCATCTACTCTGACCCCATCTGGAGAAGGCGAACTGGCACCGACACCGCCACTCCCCGACCTCTCCTGGGGCGCGTTCTGACCAGAATTTCGAAGCGAATCCAGCGGCAGCGACGACGGAGGCCCAGGAGGCCCAAAAAGGGGGAAAATCGAGGGGAGGGTGGAGGTAACTGGGTACCTTCTGCCTCCTCTGACCATCGAGGAGGCCCAAATCCACGTAAGCGCCAAAAGACCGTTCGCCATAAACATAAACTTTTGGCGCTCCGCGAGGATTTCTAGGATCCGCGCTGGACCCCCACCCCTGGCGCGCGGAGTGCGCCAGGGGCGGCGCCGGAGGCGCCGCCAGGAGGGGACCCCAACGCGGATCCAAGAGATCCGCGCGGAGCGCCAAAAGTTTATGTTTATGGCGTTTTTCTTCGACAAAAGTTGGCGGCGCGCAGAGGGGGAGGGGGGAAGACTTCTTAGAAGGGGGCTGCTTCTTAGAAGGCGCCAGCCTTACATGTATAGATCAGGCCCGCGCCTTCTGAGGAGCAGGGGTGCTTCCAAGAAGCCTTCCCCCTCCCCCATAACCCCCTCTGCGCGTGGCCGAAAAAGATCGGCTACACGCAAGAGTGACCCTGGGTAAGAGTGACCTTTGGTGCGCGGACTTTGGGGGCCGCGGGGACACCAAACCTGGGCGCGCACGCCGCTGCTGCCGCTTCGTCTTCAGCCATGCTGAGGGCCCATCTGCGCCCGCACCAAAGGTCACTCCGGCGAAAGGTCACTCTCACGTCTAGTTTGTAAGCCCCAGGGGGGTCTGCATCTTTGCTGTGAACATGGGGGCCCTGGCAGTCCGGGCGAGGCAGCTTGAAGGCCGATCGTTGGCGGAATTCCGCGGCGGCCGGGAGGATGGCCGAGGTTTGGGGCCAGGAGGATGGCCGAGGTGCGGGGCCAGGAGGATTGCCGAGCCGGTGACCTGCCATAAGATGCGCGACCATCCCAGACCCCCCGGTACTTGCAACGTCCAGTCGAGAAAGACCGCTTCGCTCGCGCCCTGGCACGGAGGGTCTCTTGACTAACTACCAGACCACCCCAACCCAACCCGGAGACCCGAACTTCGGGTTGGGGGGGGCGGGTAAGGGTTCCGCACATGTGCTTTTTCGATGTCTCCCGACCCCCCCCCCACTGGAAATCGAGGGGAAATCTGAGCCTCCGGGTTGGCTTGGGGTGGTTTGGTGGGTGGTCATCTCTGGCCTGCGGCTGCGACTTCTGGGCGATCGCGCGGCGCGGGGCCGCCAGGGCGGGCGGCGGCGCCCTCGCCGCGGAGAGCCTCCGGCGCTGCTCCGCCGCGGCGGCCGCGCCGGCGACCGAGGCCCGCGGGGCCTTCCGCCGGGCCTCGCCCTGCGGGGAGGGCTCGCAGCGCGCGGAGCGCTGCGCGGCACGTCTGAAATCTTGGAGCGAAGAACGGTATAAGATAAACTTTTTCGCCGTCGGGGGCGCCCTGTCCCTGGGCGGCTGGAAAGTTTGTACCCCTGCGGTGCCACCGTAAGGGTATGAGCTTTCCAGCCGCCCTGGGACAGGCGCCCCCGACGGCGGAAAAGTTTATTCTATACCGTTCTTCGCCCGTTAATGAAAAGACGCGGCCAGGACGAGGACTGGAGAAAAAAAATCGGGCGAGGAGGTGCCTCGAGAATCTCTCGCCGAGAGCCGGCAGCTCTGGAGCAGGCCTCGGGCGCCGCGGCCTTCTCAGAGCGCGCTCCGGAACTCTCTGGGAGCGCGTTCTTTTCGGAGCTCTCTGCAACGGATGCGTCCTCGTGCTGGCCGCGTCCGACGGCTGCTGCCACGGAATCCGGGCGCTTTCGCGCTGCGCTGCGGGCCCCCCTGGGGGCCCTCGCAGAGTCGATCCGGCTCGAGAGATGCTGCGGAAAGGCACCACTTATGGCTCGGGACGTGATGTCTATCCATACCGCACGTTCGTTCGCGACATCGGATCTCCAGGTATGCAGAAGGCCTCTGTACACCACCATCGTGCCTGGCCTCAGGTCGGGCATGTCCCCCTACAGGCGGATTTTGGACGAAACATGTCTTTTATTCTTTATTGTTTGATTTTGCTTCTCATGAAAAGAAAAAATCGTGCCCAGACAATTCTTTTACTATTTTTGAGCATCCCTCCTGTAGAGGGATATGCCCGACTTCAGCCTGGCCGGCGCCGTCCTGGGCCCTGGGCACGGTGCGTCCGCCCTCCCTGCCGAAGCCGGGAGCGAGCTGCACACCATCCCAGGACCCAGACTGGCCAGAAGGGCCCTGTCCTTAGGTCGGGCACGTCCTTCGACGGGCGGATTTCTTGGAGTGAAAATCAAAAACAGTCAAAGAATACTCAAAAATAATCAAAGACTATCTAAAAAATCGCCCCCATACTACCTTTCGACTATTTTGACTCTTCTTCCTGTAGGGGGACATGCCCGACTTAACCCTGGCCTGGCACGATGGTGGTGCGTAGATGCCTTCGGCGGACACTGCGCTTACCGCCGGTGCGGGCTCTGCGGATCGTAACAAAGGCCGGGGGGTACTCCCAGGGACATCGGGCATCGGACACGCAGCTGTCGCCAACGAGGGCTGTCGCCAGCGAGGCCAAAGCTGAACTGCGCCGAGATTACTCCGGCAGTGAGACACACAGGAGGAGAATCCTCCAAACTGGTTTTGCAGTAGCCCTCATCGTCGTCATCGTTACAGCGGAGGCTCTCCTACTGTCTCCCCCTATCACCCCTTCCTCCTGGCCATGGCGGAGGCCCTCCTCCCGCCTCCATTTCGGCCAACTCCTCCTCCTGCTCCTGCTCCTGCTCCCTCCTCCTGCTCCTCCTCTTCCTCCTGCTCCTTTTCCTCCTCCTCCTCCTCCTCATCATCATCATCGTCATCAGCATCATCATCATCGTCATCATATCATCGTCATCATCATAAGCATCATCAGCATCAGCATCAGCATCAGCATCAGCATCAGCCGAAACATCATCATCATCATCGTCCTCATCATCATCATCATCACCATCATCATCATCATCCTCCTCCTCCTCCTCATCATCATCATCATCATCATCATCATCATCATCATCATCATCATCATCATCATCATCATCATCATCATCATCATCATCGTCATCATCATCATCATGCGTAACCTCCTCATGTCTCTTCTCCTCATGCACCTCCCCCTCCCCCTGGCTAGGGCACGCAAGTCGTTTTTCCTTGGCGCCGTCGCCGCCTCGGCCAGCAGAAGCGCGTTCGCCGATGGTGGGATCGCGAGGCCGTTGGAACAACCTCACGGGCCAAGCCGTTGGGACAACCCCGCGGGCCGTTAAGACGCCAGAGCAAGCCGTTGGGACAAACCCGCGGGCCTCGAGATGGGAACCGCCGCGCTCAGGCGGGAGGCCGCGCAGATCACTCACAGACGAGGCTCCCGCTCGAGACATCCTCCAGATTCATGCCTGGAAAGCCCCAAGTTGACGACAGCAGCAGGGATCGGATGAACAGCACGGATTAATTAGCCTGGCGAAGCACCCAACCCAGTCTTAAAGAAAGACAACTCTAGAAAGGACCTCTCAATCCGCAAGATCGCGTGGATCAATCTGCAATACCCCTGACAACTTCGCTAAATGTAGCCAGGCCTCGCACAAAGTCCCACAGCCACGTATGCAATCTCACACAACGACTCGCAAAGGCGAAGACGACGATGAACGCGACGCCGAGCAGAAAGGGGCAAAGGAGACGAGGATACACACTTCGTGGGGCTCATGGTGGACGCCATGCGAGGGGGACGCCATGCGAGCATGCCCTCTGGGGCCATAGGTGCAGGTCCCTGTGGGGCACGAAATGTGTGAGGGGTGCGCCGAGATGGGCGGAGGCAGCGCCATGCGGGCACGCCCGCTGGGGCCATAGGTGCAGGTCCCTGTGGGGCACGTAACGTGTGAAAGTTTCCCGACATGGGCGGGGGCACACCACGCGAGCACGCCCACTGGGGCCGTGGGTGCAGCTCCCTGTGGGAAACAAAACGTGCGAGGGGTGAGCCGAAACGGGCCCGGGGGACGCCATGCGAGCACACCCACTGCAGCCATAGGTGCAGCTCCCTGTGGGGCTCGAAATGTGTAAAGGTGTGCATCATGGGCGGGAGGGACGCCATGCGAGCACGCCCACCGGGGCCATGGGTGCACGTCCCTGTGGGGCACGAAACGTGTGAGGGGTGTGCCAGCATAGGCGGGAGGGCGCCATACGAGCACCTTCACTGGGGCCGTAGGCGCAGCTCCCTGCAGGGCACGAAAAGTGTGAGGGGTGCGCCGCAATAGGCGGGGGGACGCTATGCGAGGAAGGACGCCCACTGCGGCCATCGGTGCAGCTCCCTGTGGGGCGCGAAACATGTGAGGGGTGTGCCGAAATATGCGAGGGGGGCGCCATGCGAGCGCGCCCTCTGAGGACGTGGGTGCAGCTCACTGGAGGGTACGGTACGTGTGAGGGGTGCGCCGAAATGGATGGAGGGACACTATGCGAGGGAGGGCTCCCACTGCGGCCACAGGTGCAGCGCCCTGTGGGGCGCCAAACGTGTGAGGGGTGCGCCGACATGGGCGGGGGCACGCCATGCGAGCACGCCCTCTGAGGCCGTGGGCGCAGCTTACCGGAGGGCACGAAACGCCTCAGGGGTATGCCCGTATGGGCGGGGTGGGCGCCATGCGAGCACGCCGGCTGAGGCCATGAGTGGAGCTCACTGGAGGCCCCGAAGTGTGCGAGGGGTGTGCCGAAATGGGCCAAGGGGACGCCGTGCGAGCACGCCCGCTGAGGCCATGAGCGGAGCTCCCTTGGGGGCACGATGTGTGTGAGGGGTGTGTCATCATGGGCGGGGGGACGCCCTGCGAGCACTCCCACTGAGGCCATAGGTGGAGCTTGCTGGAGGGCACGAAACGTGTGACGTGTGCAGCAATCGGCGGACAGGAGGGGAGGCGGATGAGGTAGGAAGAAGAGAAAGAGGAGGAGAAGGAGGAGGAGGAGGGGGAGGAAGAGGAGGAGGAGGAGACCGACGAGGAGGAGACGCGCGGCGCCACAAATTCAAAACGAGGACCCAACACACAGGAGGGCTGGGAAAAACATGAGGTGTGGACCTAATAGGGGGAAGCTGCCGCTCGCGAGTTCCTCGCAATTCACTCACCGACGAGGCTCCCTCTCGACTTCCTCCTGAGGAGCCCAAAACCAAAACATGTACAACATTGAGATGACCCGCACACATATAAAGAAAGGCGGGGACCCTATAGGGAGGGGTTCCCGCTCGAGACTTCCACGCAATTCACTCACGGACGAGGCTCCCGCTCGAGACTTCCTCAAGGCAAATGTGTGAGTGAGTGTATAAGTGTGAGTGCGCGCGGAAGTGGTGGTGGTGGTGGTGACGATGCTGCTGATGGTGATGGAAGTGGTGGTGGTGATGATGCTGCTGGTGTTGGTGTTGGTGATGGTGATGGTGATGGTGATGGTGATGGTGATGGTGATGGTGATGGTGATGGTGATGGTGATGGTGATGGTGATGGTGATGGTGATGGTGATGGTGATGGTGATGGTGATGGTGATGGTGATGGTGATGGTGATGGTGATGGTGATGGTGGTGATGGTGATGGTGATGGTGATGGTGATGGTGATGGTGATGGTGATGGTGATGGTGATGGTGATGATGCTAGTGGTGATGATGATGATGCTGATGCTAGTGCTGATGTTGATGCTGATGGTGATGGTGTTGACGATAAGGAGAAGATGCTGGTGATGAGGAGGATCAGGATGATGAGATGATGGTGATGCTGATGATGATGACGATAACGATGACGATGACGGTGAAGATGACGATGACGATGACGGGGACGATCACGATGCGGATGACGATGACGATGACGATGAAGATAACGAGGACGATGACGATGCCGATGATGCTATGATGACGGTCTGATGATTATGATTATGAGTATGTTCATGAATATGATTATGATGATGGTAGTGATGATGATGGTGGCAACGACGACAATGATGATGATGAGATGATGATGATGAGATGATGATGGTGGCCATGGTGATCTGATGATGATGACGATGATGATGCTGAGGATGACGGTGATGATGGTAATGATGATGTCGGTGGTGATGGTGATGCTAATGAATATGGTAATGATGATGGGTGTGCTGATGAATATGTTGATGATGATGGTGATGATGGTGATGGTGATGATGGTGATGGTGATGGTGATGAGGATGAAGAGGACTATGATGATGGTGATGATGATGCTGGTGATGATGATGGTGCTGGTGATGGTGAGGGTGATGACGATTGTGCTCATAATGATAATGGCGATGCTGACGGTGATGATGGTGATGATGGG